CACCATCCCAGATTATGAGAGGGATATCCAACTGCCATTTTAGGCCCAACATCTCCCGAGGGGTCCCAGATCGCAAGAGGATGCAGGCCGGGCTGAGGGGACTTGTGCACTGGGCCTCTAGTTAACAATAATATGTAAATAAGGGCAAGTAAAGGGGGTGGGATTGAGAATGGGTGTAAATAAATCCTTCTAGCTATAGTAAGGGCTCCCAGAGTGGGAGGAAAGGGGTGCTGTCTCCACCTCCCTCAGCTCTTGTCAATCTCATAAGAAAGATTTGAAGCAAAGCAAGTGAATTTATTAAGAATACACTTGGCATATTATATTAGTTCAAGTGGACAATGCAGCTAGTCTAAGTGCCCCCACCTGGTGGAGGTTTAGGGGGTTCAATACTTTCCTGTCTACAGGTTTCAAGGCTCCTCTGCCAGATATACTGAGTTGAACAGACTAGATTTCAAAGTCCCCCTTTGACTTAGTTGTAGCTTTTTCCAGTTTATAAGAACATCTGGCAATTTTACTTCCACAAGTCCCAACACTGCTGACTTCTCTGTTCAGTGGATGAGCTAAATGAAACTCTCCCTACTTTTCCCCTTCCCCTCCTCCTGCTTTAGTGGTTATCTTTCCTGCCGAACATCCCCAAGTGATATTTATCTTTGGGTTTAGCTGGCACAAATGGCATTAATTGGGTCTTTGTTCTCTTTTATCAAGCCAGGGTTAGGGAGGAGGGGTTTTAACCATTTGCTTTCAAGTGTCCTTGTTTAGGGAAGATAAGGTCTTACGAATCACTGCAAGCTGCCCAAACTGTTTGGCCTCGTTTAATTTTGTCTTAATTTCCCCATTTCACTTGCTCAGAAATTTTCCTAGTTTCTTACTATCCTGCCACAGGAGACAGATGTATTTCTAGCATATCTAATTGGAACTGAGTGCATTTCCATATAATATATAGTCATTAATGATGAGTTGGCCGTAAGATATAAAAATAGTACTACATTTTTGATACATTATGGATTAGTAAGCATTGACAATTGGGAAAAGGATGACTCTAAGGATCAAATGAATTGGTGCAAGATTAATTCAATGTAATAAATAACCACCGATTTCTAAATAATGACCTACAACTTAGCCTTTAGAAAAAAAAATATTTCTGAAGCTAGAAGCCTCCAAATAAAACCACATATATGTGATGTGCCTCTCCAATTCCTAATCCTTGCCCACATCTCATTCTATAGCAGTACTATGTAAACATAAGGACACTAGGCTGAAAAGAAAATTCTATTTTGCAATGAACATTAACTCTTGAATTACACTCTCCCTATAGCTTTAATTCATTTCAAACATGTATGTTGGTTCCTTTAAAAAATGTCAATTTCTCAATTTTTACAAAAACTGTCCCTTATTCAAAGTCATATGTCACTATTAACTTTTCTATGTCCTTGCTGATATTTAACTTAATACCTATATACTATTAATATATCTTGGGTCACACAAAAATTCTCTGAAAAGCAAAGGGTACATATTTTATTATAATTATATAAAAGGTTAACTTAAAATTAATTTATTTTTAAATAATTGACTTGGATAACATATTTAGTATTAAATATTTCTTATCATTGCTTACTTAAAATTTAATACATTTTAAAATATATTAAAACATATATTAAATTATGTGTTTTAATATATTTTATTATATTAAATATATGTGTGGCAAGCACAGCCAGGTGGCTCATTGGTTGGAGTGTTGTCATATATATCAAAAGGTTGCGGGTTTGATCTCTATTCTGGGCACTAACATCAAATGGTCTCTAACATCAAATTTTTTTCAGCTATATTATCACATAACATCATACCATATTAAAAGTTTCTTCCCAAATATTACCAAGGCAAGCAAACAAGTCTGACATTACCTTTATATTTACCACAAATTAGATGATCAAAAACCTTAGTTATTACAAATTAAAATGCACAAATGTATTTTAAGTTTGATAACAAAACCAAGTTGTAGTAAATTTATATATGCTAAAAATACAATTCAAATATTATTTGCATGTTAATGAATGCCAATTGCTAAAATTTAAAGATAAGTATGTTTCACTAAATATGTTTTTTATTGTAGTATTCAACTGCAAAAATTTTCATAAAATAAAAAATCTAATTCATTCCTAGAACAAAAAAAGTGATTACTAAATAAAGTCATCAGTCCTGGAATTTATTAAACACTGTTCCACAATTAATAATTTTCTATTAAAAAATAAGATGACAGGGTATATATTAAGATAAATATAATCATTTTTTTCTTCTTCACAATTTATAATGAGACCTACCCAAGAAGCCCTTGTTCGTGGATTTAAAAGCTTGAGTAAAGTCTGAGAGTGCTTCTTACTAAAACTGCTAATTAAATCAAGTCTGCCATTCTTCCATCAGTAATCCAAACAACAGACAGCAAGACAAAGCCCTACTATTGTCACTACCACAAAATCACCTCACTAAAGAAGTGAAAATGAATATGTATACTTGCTGCCTAAGACCTATAAAAATTTTCATAAATCTTACCGGTGGTCTAAAGGTGAATATAGTTATAATTATTATTTAACTCATAATTGCAATATTAATCTAAAAAAATTAAACCTGAGCTTTTAAAATATTTACCTTAAAAAAAGCACATAAATTCAAACCAAATTTGTTTTAAAATAGCATTAGCTTTTCAATCACCTTCCTGATCTAAAGTACTTACAAACATGAAAATGTTACCTGACTTAGCTTTTAACACAATCTGTAAAAATATGTTCCAAACTGGTTGTATAAACTGTTTAAACATAATATTCTTTTCTAATTTATGATGTCCTTTGAGTCCTCACTTTGTTAAAAACAATTCACAGTAATTGTTTTCCTATGTTGGCAATATGTCCAATGAATGATTCTACAGTACTTACTAGTTTATTCATAGCCTTTAAAGTAAGTGAAAATGCAAGAGAAAATAGGTAAGTCAGAAGAAGATAGATTGTACTAGGCAAACTTTTGATTAAAGGACAAAATAGTCTCAAACAAATGGTTTGACATTTGGCCATTTAAAAAATAATGAACAATTAGTACCAGTGGAAGAAGGAAAAAGTCAAGAATATACAGAACTTCCGCCCTAGCTGGTTTGGCCCAGGCGATAAAAGCGTCAGCCTGTGGACTGAAGGGTCCCTGGTTCGATTCTAGTCAAGGGTACATGCCCAGGATAAAGACTCATCTCCAGTAGGGTATGTGCAGGAGGCAGCCGATCAATGATTCTCTCTCATCATTGATCTCTACCCCCCTCTTCTTTGAAATTAAAATTATATATATATATATATATATAATTATATATATATATATATATGTGTGTGTGTGTTAAAATTATATGTATACATATATATTTAGAAATGTAACTTCTAAATTGTTCTATTATGAAGAAAAAAGCTGATTAGATTTGTACTTATATCTATACTATATAATAAAAGTCTAATATGCTAAATGTCCAGTTGGCCAGTGGGTCATTCAATCAATCAAAGCGTAGTACGCTGATATGCTAAGGACACTCAACTGCTCGCTATGATGTGCACTGACCACCAGGGGGCAGAAGCTCTGACCAGGTTAGCTGGGGTCTGGCCAATAGGGATTGAGAGAGACGGGCCAAACATGGAGCCCTCCTGTGGTTCCTCCCTGGCTGGCCACCTCCTGCATCCCTCACGGGCCCCAACTGTGCACCAGAGGGGTCCCTCAGCCTGGTCTGCACCCTCTCGCAATCCAGGACCCCTTGGGGGATATCAGAGAGCCTGTTTCAGCCCAATAGTGAAACAGATCGCTATAACACACACTAACGACCAGGGAGCGGACGCTCAACACAGAAGCTGCTCCCTGGTGGTCAGTGCGCTCCCTCTGCAGCAGCGCTAAGGATGTCTGACTGCCAACTTAAACCCACTCCCCATGGAACATCCCCCGAGCACTCCCAGATTGCAAGAGTACATAGGCTGGGCAGAGGGATCTGCCCTCCAAGTGCACATTTTCGTGCACCGAACCTCTAATATATAATAAAAGCATAATATGCAAATCGACCAAACAACTGAACAGCAGAACGACTACCTGGGCAACATTCCGGACAACCACGCTATGACATGCATTGGCGCCAGGCCAACCAAGGCAGATGTGATGTGATGCGATTGGTTGGGGGGACCCTCCATTGCCCAGCAATGAGGGCGGTCAATGGGGGGGCTTCTGGGTGATCAATCAATAACGGAGCCCCACGATTGATCATCCCAAAGAGGCAGGCCCAGGCTACCCAGCTGGTGGCCACAGAGGGAGGCCTAAGCCACCTGGCTGGTGGCACTGTGGCATGTGATTGGGGCCTTCCTCTGCAGGGCAACTGAGGTAGGGTACCTACAATCAATTGGCCCATAGAGGGAGGCCCAAGCCAGCCAAGCAATCACACCCCATGCCTGTTGCCTGCAGAAGGAGGTGACCGGTGGAGGAGAGTAGGAGCAGCACCACACAGATGGCAAGCAATGCTAGCAGTAGGGGCAGGGGCAGCTGGGGAAAGGAAAGACCTGATAGGCCCTGACCACTGGGGCCAGGTCTAGGAATCCTGGATTGTAAGAGGGCACAGGCCGGGCTGAGGGACACTCCTCCCTCCCTCCCGCCCCCAGGGCCTCTGGTGTGAAATAATCAGTTAATAATATGTAGCAGCAAACTACTATTGCTTAAGTCACCTAAAGATTTCACAATATGATCACAGTAACACATTCAAGAAATTCCTCTCATGTTTTCAATCAAGCTGTATTTCAAATTTTCAGCTAAATAGGTACAACTTTATTCACAAATATGGCATTATTTTAGACCTCTTCTTTGATTTAATATTCTTTATTAATAAAAATTTAGTATTTCATTGTCTACATTCAGCTATCAAGAACTCAATTTTATCTAAAAAAGGAAAAAAATCTATTAAGTTGATGTGCTACATATTTAGCAACAACAAATGCACTTACTTTTTTCTCTTTCTCATGATGTTTATCCTGAGAGTGAGAGGAAGAATCACTTAAACTTTGATCATATGACCTATTAGATCCCCGTTTGCTCTTTTTCTAAAAAAGAAAATATATATACATATATGTATATGTATATAAAAAATTTTTTAAATAATCTTTTTGTTAGGGTTAAACCAATTCAAGTGTGAAATATTTCAAAATGTCTACTGAAGATAAAATGTCTCACTATTTTAAATCATATTATCTGTTTACACACCCTCCATATATTACCTATTAAATTATAAAGAAAAATCTAACCTTAAATTTAACATTAATGCCATATTTTTGTACGTTTGTTAAAATGTGTAAAGACTATTTTCAAACAAGCAGTAGCTTATTTGTCACTTTTATCACAAAACCACTCATTAAAGAAATTAAATATAATTTTCAATTTCTGCTTTAAAAAAGTTTCAACCAAAATTGAAAATGCCATATTGAAGAAGGATGCCAAGACTAGAGGAAAAGAAAACATTTGAAGAGTTACTTTATGCCTCTACAAAAAGCAAAAAGTCTTTTGATCTCAAAAGTATTAAGGCATTACACCTTTCTGCAGTTAAGGAAAAAAATTAAAGAAAATGTCAGTAATAGACCCACGCATTTTTCAAAGCATTACTAGAAGTATTATACATTTCTGTTTAAAGTATTTTCACAATTTCATGATAAAGTATGGTGAGGTTATTTGAGATGTTTAAAACTTGGTGGTAGAATAATTAGTTTACATTATATAAAAATGACTATAAAAAGTGCTCAAATTCCATACAAATATATAGACCTTATACAATCAAAAACTTTTTATTCCTCTACTAGCAAATGAAATAGTATGTAACTAGCATTTATATAAACTTCTATTTATATAAACTTCAAAATCCATTTTTATTATTTTTATGTTTTATCTATTTTCATTTCTCATTTAGAAAATGAAAATCCAATATGCTTTTAACATTCAAGAAGCAAAATTTTCAATTTTATCATCTCAAAATTTCTCTTACACAGTTCAGTATTCTTTGTCAGTCACTAAAGCACATCAGTCTCCAACATCCAAACAATATATATATATATATTTCATATGCATGAATCAGAATTAAGTTATAAGCTGTTCATTTCAAGAGAAAGGGGCCCGCAATAATATTATAATAAGGGAGGAAGGAAGGAAGGAAGGAAGGAAGGAAGGAAGGAAGGAAGGAAGGAAGGACGGACGGGAGGGAAGGAGGGAGGGAGGGAGGGAGGGAGGAAGGAAGGAAGAAGTGGGACAGTCCCATCCACAAAGGAAAGGTAATAATAGAATTTTTTTTGTAATTTTTAAAAAAGAAACTAAAGAAAAACAAAGAAGCCTTAAACTTCAGTATATATATCTGACTGTTATCAATGACAAATAAGAAATAGACACTTGAGACATTTAAGAAACTCTATCCTCAGTGGCGGGAGTAAGGGCATGGGGTGGGGTTGGGAATCAGGTAGAGGGGAGCTATTGGGGTGAGGGGAGAGGAACACCTGAAATAATCTGAACAATAAAGACTTATTATTAAAATAAAATAAAAAGAAAAGAAAAGAAACTCTATCCTTCAAAGGACATGAACACAAAATAGTTAACAGTTAGTCAAATATTAGTCACCCATGCTACTATGTAACAAAAAAGACTGACCAAATCTAAAATATTTCCCAAGTTGTATTTAAAAATAGTTTCTTAAGGTCTTTAACTAAGTTACAAAGCAACCTTATTTCAGTTTTACTATTTCCTAGTAAATAAATGTATATATAAAAATAAGTAGTAATAAAGCAAAAAAAAAATGAGAAACAACAGAGAAATCACAAAATTTATATGTGTTTAAAATCAAATTAAATGAAAATAGCATTGAGTTATAGAGTTTTTTAAACATGTGCTTTTTCTACTAAATGTGTACCAACATTTACCATTAATTATTAATATGTTTTAAATTAGAATTTTAGAATAGTCACTTTTGTAAATGAACTAAAACAAAGCAAAATCTTTTAAAATTAATATATCTTTTCATCCCCAGTGAAGAGCATGCTAAGCAAACCTAATCTCAAACAAAAATCAAAGGAAAAGAGCCAACTCTACTGTCAAAACTAATCACTTAGCATTTTAATATTAAATTCTTACCAGCTTACTAAAATGGTATTTACAGTAGCCACAGTATTGGACGTTATCTGCACCATTTCCTTCTTCTTCACAAAGTAGTCCAGCAAACTGAGCACTGAAATCAAAAGCAAACTATAATATTTCAAACCACAATATATAGAAATTGAAATTCACTTCAAAGAATGTAAGACTTGTAAGACCTTAAATCTTTTAAGAGAAAAAGGGAAGATAAAAGTACACTTACTCTAACATGTAGTTGATTTTAAGTTATATTTATAGTTTGATATAAACTTTTCACCCATCTCTAATAAAGATAAAGAGTTACACATGTTTTATATCACAAAACAATGAATTTTTTTAAGAAACACTCCGAGACCCTAATAATTAACACTTGATTTTATTTTTTCAATCTATAGCAGAGGTACAAATGGAAAAGCAAGGTCTCTAAGAGGCTGAACTGGCAGTGATGCTACTTTCCCATGGATATACATTACATACTATTAGAAAAAACGCTTCAAGTCATAGCACAGTGCAGTAGGCAAAAAAAAAATAGGCTGTGTTCTTCAATCAAAAAACAATGGAAGAAAAGGAAATGAAACCTAAAATTATTGTATTTATATATTTTAAAAATACAAAGTGCTAAAGTTTATAATCATCATCTTCTCAATTTAATCTCCCACTTTAGCATTCCAAAATTACAATATTAGCATATATCTCATTCCCAAAAAGTCAACTTTCGTCATTGGAAAATCAAATATACTATTAAGAGAATTTATAAATACCAAAAATGTTTTCCATTCCCCCAAAATAATCTAAAATAGACTTCATAAATTCACACAGTAAGAGATTAGGAAATGAGGTATAAGCCTATATTGACTATTAAATATAGACTGATTCTTAAAATTAGTAGGTAAATGGATTGTTTGCAAACTTTTATTTTTAACTACTGTTTATTATATTGAATATTTTAGTATAATTTTTGCTCTTGAAATAGTCTGAAAAACTATCCTATAGAATAAAAGCCTAATATGCTAAGTGTCCAGTCATCCATTCAACCAATCAAAGCATAATATGCTAATGATATGGTAAGGCCACTCAACTGCTTGCTATGACATGCACTGACCACCAGGAACAGACACTCAGACCATTAGGTTAACTTTCTGCTGGGGTCCAGCAGAGTGGAACTGAGTGAGATGGGCCAGACATACCAGGGAGCCCTCCCAGTTCCTCCCTGGCTGACCAACTTCCCACATCCCTACACAGCCCCAATTGTACACGAGTGGGGTCCTTTGGCCTGGCCTGCACCCTCTCACAATCCAGGACCCTTCAAAAATGTCAAAGGGCGGGTTTTGGCCCAATCCCGCAGGCCAGGCGGAGGGACCCCACTGATGCAAGTATTCATGCATTGGGCCTCTAGTCTATTCTATATAATCAAGAGGTAATATGCTAATCAGACTGGATGGCGGAACAACCTTTCAGAACGACCAGAGTCTGCAAGAGCCAAGCCCCTTGCAGGAATTTTGTGCACTGGGCCTCTAGTAATAATAATAGTAATGATGATGATGGCAACTGCTTTTTTCCTGCCTTAAAGCACAGGCAGCAAAGAAATGCTACTATCATTCATTAAATCCTTTCTGGCACTGCACTAAGAGTACCTAAATCAGTTCTTTTATTTTTTTTTTATTTTTTTTAATATATTTTATTGATTTTTTACAGAGAGGGATAGAGAGTTAGAAACATCGATGAGAGAGAATCATCGATCAGCTGCCTCTTGCACACCCCCTACTGGAGATGTGTCCGCAACCAAGGTACATGCCCTTGACCGGAACCAAACTAGGGACCTTTCAGTCCGAAGGCCGACGTTCTATCCACTGAGCCAAACCAGTTTTGGATAAATCAGTTCTTTTAATCATACTAACAAATCAAAGAGTAGGTAACTAAAACTAATCTTTTAAACAAAACGAAACTGAATGAAGTACATTAGAACCAACGTCTACCTACTAAAAATTCACTCTGGTAAGTAAATTCAATTATTAGAATTATCTTTATTACAAGTTAAGTAAGTATAAACTTAGAAACTATCCCAATAAAATTTACTAGAAATAACATTTTGGTACATAATTAAATCTTTCATTTATAAGGTATTTCCCATTTCTGTACAATGATGAAAACATACTTACCATGTCACATGGAAAGCTTGTCTACATCCATGTTTATTACATGTCATACAAGCACCAGTGGCTGCTTTGCTTTCTCTTCCTTGTTCATCACAAATGTAGCAAGTCTAAAGATACAGAAACAAAAACAAAAATAAAACAAAACCTTACAAGAGCTTAAAGTAACTGAATTTGACAATTTTCAGAAGTCAAGATCATGGTTCACTATCTAATCTATTTTATTTCTAAACATGAATTCATTTTTTCTGACACTAACCTAATTTTTACAAACAGTACAAATATGAAAACATAAACAAAGACATATAAGTAGACTTAGTATTTCAGAAAAGGTTTGTGTCTCCCTTGGACACAAAAACCCTGCAAAATAAGAATCTTCACATGCACTAGGACCAAAGACGAAAACACAGCCTTACCATAGCTTGTTCTTAAAACCTCCTTAAAATATTCAACTGATTCCTGTTACAAAGCTGTAAAAAAAGGTTTTGCCCTTCCTTTCTTTTGGAAGTAGCATATCTAAAGGAGTTTGATAGAGTTTTCCAGGGGGCGGAGCTTGAAGATGGCGACCGAACAGTCGGACCTGTTCTGACTCTGGTCCCAGAACGGATAAAGGGGGCTTCTGAGTCACTCAGGGAGTGTTATTTGGCAGCTAAGGGACAGCGGAGCTCTCAAGGAGGGTAAGGGAGGGTCCGCTGGACAGGATTTCCTGAACAAGCGGCCAGGACAGCAGCGGCCGCAGCGGCGGAGGCAGCGAGCGGTGGGCTGCGGGCGTGGAGGAAGGGCTGCATTGTCTTGCCAGGAAGGAAAAAGCTTCTCTGAGGCGTGGAAAACGCACAGCCCGGAGGTCCATCGAGCAGCTGAGACTCCCAGAGCTGCGCAGACACGTGGATTCCGGGGAGATCTTCAGTCACCCACGGAAAGGTCAGAGTTTGCGGGGATAGCCTAAGGGATCTGGGTTCCGCGGCGGCGAGCTCCGGCCCCGCCTCCACTACGGCAGCAGGGGAACTCCGGCCCCGCCTCTGCTACGGTAGCCGGGGAGCTCCAGCCCCGCCTCCACGGTAGACGGGTGCGCGAACTACCGCCCGCGGAGGCGGAGCGGAGCCCAGAGAAGGCTGCAGCGACACCTAGTGCTGGGTTTGAAGTAATCCCCCCTAGAAGAGGGGCTTTTTTTTTTAAACGCCAGGGGACACGGGACAGAGTGTTAAGAATCGCGGCTGTCCCGCCAAGGGCGGAACATCTGGACACCTTGGCACCGGTTCCCATTCATCCCCTTGCTTCTGAATACTAGAGAAGAACTGCCCAGTTGGGCATAGCCGGGGAAATTGTAGGGGGAATTTGCCTTCTGGAAACAAGGGATTGGAGCCAGAAGACATAGTCCTGGAGCCAGCTAGAGCCATAGAGAAAGAAGGCCAGAGCAACCAAAAAGACTGGGAGGTCAAACCGGAAACACTGACACCTAAGAGCCGAATTACAAACTGCCCTTTTTTTTTTTTTTTTTTTTTTTTTTTTTTTTTTTTTTTTCCCTCTTCTTTTTTCTTTTTCTTTTTTTTTTTTTTTCTTTTTTTTCTTTCTTTTTTCTTTTAATTAATCAAAAATAAACGGACACAAATAACTAAGATATAACCTGCTTAAAATTAAGATTTACCTTACAAAACTGAGGTGCAGTGGAATGCTGGGGACTGCAAGACTGTCTGGTCCGAGAATCAGGAGGGCCAAATACATTAACAGAGGAAGTGAATGACCACTACTGGACATTTTTATGCTAATTTTACTATTCTTTATTTTATTTTCATTTTTTACATCTTTAATTTTCACTTTTTATAGCATTTACTTAAGAAAAATTTTTTCTATTTTTTTCCTTACTTCATTTTACCTTTTCAATTATTACATTTTTCAATCTCTATCATCACTATTACTACTGCTATTTTGCAATTTTTGTTTCTTTCCTTTTTTTTTTTTTTTTTTTTTGTTCTTTGTTTTTTCTTGTTTGTTTGTTTGTTTGTCTGTTTGTTTCCTCTCCAGTACCATTTTTTTTTCTGTATTTTACATTGGGAATAACCTCCATTCTATTTTAATCACTACTATAGCATCATTCAACCCTATCTCAACTTGACCTTTACACCATCACTCTCTTACTAAACTTTACCCTTTTAGTTGACGGTTTATCCTATCCCTTTCCGGCTCTAGATTTTCCTCTATTCTTTCTGTATACCCCTTGCTAAAGCTCTCACTATACGTATAGACCTAAGTTCCAACCCCTGATCCAAGTGTATAAATACCAATTTCTGTACTATATTAACTAGTTAAAAAAAAACAAAAACAAAAAAAAAACTGTTCTCCCCTCTATCCTTTGCGCATTGTTTGTGTGAGGGTTGATTATTGTGAATTTTTATGCTTTTTAGTGAAATGGTTATGCTTATTCCTGTGTTGTTATTGTTGCATTGTATTTTTTTTTAAATCCTCTGTTTTTATTTGTTTCTATTACTTCTGTATATCATAGCCTTACTTAATAATAGTGGATATTGTAGTTTGTATTAATCTCCAAGTATTGTTACTGGCATTGGCTGGGTTCAGTAGTTGTTCTATGGCAATTTTCTCCACATATATATAGTTTGTTTCCCATTTCTCTTTTAGTTTGCTTCTTCTCTCCCTTTCTTTCTCTCTCTCTCTCTCTCTCTCTCTCTCTCTCTCCTTTCTTTTTTTCCCTGTTTTCCAACTTTATTTTGTCATTACTTTTTTCCTTCTCTTTCTATCTCTTTATCCTTCTTTTTTTTATTTTATTTTCTTAATTTTTTTTTTAAATTTTAATTTTATAAAAAAATTTTCTTTATTTTATTTTTACCTTTCTTCCTTCTCCCCTAACCCCTAAGTTGCCTTTCTCTAGTGGTCACCTTTATTTGAGGTTATTAATATTGTAAATACATTCCTGTTAAGTGCCTCTTGTGTTGTACCTGGTAGTGTTGTATATTGTACCTTTAAATCAACGCAGGAGAAGGAACACCACATAACCAGACACCCTGAAAAAAGAGGCCATGGGGAGACAAAAACATAGTCTGCACATAAAAGAAAAGCAGGCATCACCAGAAAAGGAAGTAGAGTCAGAGGCAACCAGCCTACCAGAGCAAGAATTCAGAATAATGATCATAGGATGGCTAAAAAGAATGGAAGAGAAATTTGACAATAACCAAGAAGAAATGAGGAAGAACCACGAGGAATTGAAGAAGAACCATGAGGAATTGAAGAAGAACCAAGAGGAAATGAAAAATGACATCGCTACCATGAAGAACTCAATAGAAAGCATCAAGAGTAGACTAGATGAAGCAGAGGACCGCATCAGTGAGCTAGAAGATAAGATGGAAAAATATACCCAAGTAGAGCAACTTCTAGAAAAAAAGATTAAAAAGCAGGAGGAGAGCCTACGGGAGCTTTGGGACAATACAAAACAAAACAATATTCGAATAATAGGGGTTCCAGAAGGAAAGGAAACTGAGGTAGACATGGAAAAAGTATTTCAAGAAATAATGACAGAAAACTTTCCTGAAATAGAGAAGAAAAAACCCACACAAATCCAAGATGCTCGCAGAGTCCCAAGCAAAATGAATCCCAGAAAACAGACTCCAAGGCATATTATAATTAAATTGGCAAACAACAACGACAAAGTAAGAATCTTAAAAGCAGCCAGAGAGAGACAGAAAGTTACATACAAAGGAACCCCCATCAGACTAGCAACTGATTTCTCAACGGAAACTTATCAGGCCAGAAGGGAATGGGATGAAATATACAAAGTCATGCAAAGAAAGGGTCTGAATCCAAGAATACTGTACCCAGCAAGGCTATCAATCAAAATTGAAGGGGAAATCAGGAGCTTCACAGACAAAAAAAGACTGAAGGAATTTATCTCCACCAAACCAGCAATGCAAGAAATGCTAAGGGGTCTACTGTAAAAATAAAGAAATATTAAGTGAAGAAGGAACATGAGTATAGATTAAAAATGGCATCAAATGAGTACCTATCATTAATAACTTTAAATGTAAATGGTTTAAATGCTCCAATAAAAAGACATAGGGTAACAGATTGGATAAGAAAACAAGACCCATACATCTGTTGTCTACAAGAAACCCACCTCAGAAAAAAAGATGCACACAGACTGAGGGTGAAGGGATGGAAAAAAGTTTTCCAGGCAAATGGAAATGAAAAAAAAGCTGGGGTAGCAATACTTATATCTGACAAATTAGATCTCAGATTGAAGGACATAATAAGAGATAATGAAGGCCACTTCATAATACTAAAGGGAACAATCCAACAAGAAGAAATTACCCTGGTAAATATATATGCACCCAATACAGGAGCAACCAAATACATAAAAAAACTGCTGGAGGACATTAAGGGAGAGATTCATAGCAATACAATCATAGTAGGAGATTTTAATACCCCTCTGTCACCCTTCGACAAATCATCTAAACAAAAAATCAGCAAAGAAATATCAACCCTAAATGACTCACTAGACCAGATGGAATTAATTGACATCTTCAGAACACTCCACCCCAAAGCCGCAGAATATACATTCTTCTCAAGTGCACATGGGACATTCTCAAAGATAGACCACATTTTGGGACATAGGCAAAGTCTCTTCAAATTTAAGAAGATAGAAATCGTATCAAGTATCTTCTCAGACCATAATGGCATAAAACTGGAAATTAACTACAATAAAAATAATCCAAAGAAATCAAACACATGGAGATTAAACAGCATGCTATTAAACAAGGACTGGGTTACCAGAGAAATCAAGGAAGAAATTAAAAACATCCTGGCAACAAATGACAATGAAAACACCACAATCCAAAATCTATGGGACACAGCAAAAGCAGTTTTGAGAGGGAAGTTCATATCCTTACAAGCCTATTGCAAAAAACTAGAAAAAAGGGTAACAGATGATCTAACTCTACAACTCAAAGAATTAGAAAAGGAGCAACAAGAAAAGCCCAGTGTAAGCAGAAGGAAGGAAATAACAAAAATCAGAGCACAGATAAACGACATAGAGACCAAAAAAACAATACATAAGATCAACAAAACCAAGAGCTGGTTTTTTGAAAGAATAAACAAGATAGAT